AAAATCCTCGCCAAGAGCAAACTATGATTTTTCCCACTTAAACCAAACTAATTCCACATAGATACCAGCTAACCCAGACTAATCAGCCGTGCCTAGGCACTAGGACTCACGTACAAGCTATGTTGCACAAAATCTTCAAATAAATGTGCTTTCTGTCCCTGAAATATCCCTGTTTTGGTACTTGGGGACCTCCCGACACCCAAATCCTTTATTAAATTTTTAAAAGTTGGTGTTTCCACATTTACGACTTGTCCCCGAATAAGTGCGTACTTTCGTCTCATTGCAACTTTGTGTACAAGAACATATGTAGCATGTAACATTGTGAATATGAATATGTATAGTATAGGACCTTTACATTTTCTGGATATGGCATAACGAATCATTTCCAATGGTGCAATCGCAGTCAACACTGTTGTCGGACCAATTCGGTTGTTGTGTTACTACCCCGACTACACTACTCTCACATGGATCGGGATCAAACTTCCAGTCTTTTGCACCCAATGTAGTGGCAATTTGTCGCAATGCATCAACTGACAAATGAAACAAAACATCATTCAAGAAGCTATACTTTCATGACGGAATTTGTGAGACATCACCACAACAACAACATACATACTAAGGTCCCACAAGTGTGGTTTGGACAGGGTGGGTGTATGCAAACCTTACCCCTACGAATAAAGATAGAGAGGCTATTGTGGAAAGTCACTAAAGAAGTATAAATCTGAAAATGATCTCCAATTATTTAAACTTGAGATCTTGTTTGAAAATGGTCACATGGCCATACAACTATTTATAGTATTTGAACTAAAGATCTCCTTGTTTACTTCTCATGAAAGTGATTGATCTTCAAAACCCCAAAGACCATAAACAATGTACTTTCATGCCCACTCCTACACTTGCAGAGGACTTCCTATGTGTTGGAAGGTTGCCATTGATGCAAGCAAACCGGTGGGACCCACAACATTGTGGACGGTAGAACATAAAATGCTGTCACATACAGCAATATTACTCTTCATGTTTTTGGATCCCAATCAAAACTATTTCAATAAAATAAATTTTGAAAATATTTTGTACTACTATTTAAATTATTGATTGGCATTAAATTTTTAATTTTAATATTTAATTATTAGTGTTTACTAGTTCATTATTTAATCTTTAAATATTTTTAGCATTTAATTTTTATTCATTTTTTATGTATTTTTTGTTTTAAAAATAAGGTAAAAATTTAAAACAACTATTAGTTTGAGTAAAATAAAAAACAATAATGTGGCCCTATTTCAGGGTGCTTGGAATATCTTTGGGTTGTAGTTAAAAGTTGCTTAGATTGTAATCCGTATAAAAGTAGAAAAATGATGTCTACTGTCTACATGTTGGACCTACAAAAAACAACAACAACCTAGTTGAATCCCACGAGAGTATGGTCTAGATGGACCAACAATAAATAAATAAATCATACTCCATAAGAAGAAAATATTAAATGATCTGAAGTTACCACAATTGAAATAATAATTTCAAAAGAATGATAGTAAGACACACAATGGGTTTTACTACTAAATTTCTTCTTCAAACTGAGGGATAGAGCATAAAGAACCAACACTTTTAGGCTTCCTATTCATAAATTGAATTATTCCTCACTTGGACAAACCAAGCAAAATACCACAAAAAGTAAAGTCAGGGAGAAGTGTTTACCCAAGCCTTATCCCTAAAGCTCTACTCAGAATTATAGAGTTGTTTCCAAGAAACTTCCAACTCCAATACAGAAGCACAAATACAGAAGCACAGACAAAGTAAACATAGTACCCACTGCCAAAGTATTCCTCACTTTGGCCAACTTCTAGAAATCAGTAAGACCATCAAATTCCTTGTTTGGGTTCCAGATGAAATTCAGTGGAAATGAGACGAAGGGAAAAATGAAAAATCCCACCTTTTGACTAGTTTCTATAGTTATAAACACAAATGGGCTTTTTAAATTTAAAGAAAAGGAAAATACATATGAAGAACAGAAAGATCTGGTTCACCTTCATCTTGAGCGGTCTTAGATTCTGAAAATGTCAACAAGATGAAGCAACTAAGTGGAACAATCATTGAAACAGCACTTCTTTTCCTGCAGAACATTCTCCTTGAAGCTTCAATGAATGAGTGGCAAACAGTGGACACGAACATAAAATAACACTGCCCTAATATGAATTTCAAGAATCTACGAGGACATATCAGCAAACCCAATCGAGCTTATATGGATTATGGAATGGTTCTTTTTCAAGATTCCCACTTTCTTTTACTATGAAAGGTTTTGAGTGATGGCAGATTCTCTTTCGAGGAAAAAGAGGCCTAAGCAAGTGGGTATTTTTTGAAAAAAAAAAAAGGGAAATAAGTCAAATAACTGGTGGAGGGCAGAATTGGGAAGACTGGAAGAGAGTATGGAGAAAATTAAGCTCTCCATTAGTCCATTTCTTGACTCTGGAGTTGAAAAACAGGTCTCACGGTTGGTAAAGATCCAAATCATTAACAGTCTTGCTTGCGGCCGGTTCGATTCCTACTCCACACAAAAGTGTAAAATTGAATTCTTTATGCGGAGTATGATTCTTAATTCTTTATGCGGAGTATGATTCTTGAAAAAGGAGCGGGATGTTGGAAGAAATTGGAAGGAACGGGAAGAACTAGAAGGAACTGATAGAAACTGGAAAAAACTGGAAGGAGCTGGAAGGACTGGAAAACCTAAAAAAACTTTAAAAATATTTATTTTAAATTCTTGTTGTTATAAATTATTATTATTATTATTATTATTATTATTATTATTATTATTATCATTATCATTATCATTATTATTATCATCATCATCATCATCATCATCATCATCATCATGTTATCTAAGTGAATGTCCTTAAGATATAAAAAAAGTATTTTTATTTTCTAAATACAAAAAACTACTTTTACAAAAAATAATTATAATATAGAGTTAGCATAAATATAAAAATATTAAATTTAAAAAAGGTTGCGTAGTTATATTGCACCTCAATTTATTTATGCAGTATTTATATAAATAATATATTTGTAATTATATTTTATATATTAAAACATTTTGTTTTAAATATCATACATGTCACATAATCAAACATATTGTTTCTTTCATGATTGACATTTTATTCTCATTGAATTCCTATTTTTGAAATAAAGACATAGAACTTTTTTGTTTACATTTTTTATGTTTTACTCATATTTAGTCTTTTTCTCTAAACTCTTTTGACTTACAATTTTTTTTATAAAAATTAGAAAAATGAGCAATTTTTAAGTAATAAAGGGAAACTGAGATGTCTTATAAAAAGTTATATTAATAAAACATTCAATGTAACTATTTTATCCATAATTTTTAGTATAATTTAACATATTGATGTTTTCCTGTTTTATCATGTAGACTAATATACAAAAAATGTCTTATTCATATTAAAAAGTTGAAGAAAAAAATAAAAAGTGTGAATCGTAAAAATAGTGAGATGAAAAAAATAATTTATAAACTATAGTTATGAATATAACAGTTGTAATAATAATAATAATAATAATAATAATAATAATAATAATAATAATAATAATAACAACATTGAAATATATCATTTTTAGAGTAATTGGTTGATGATTAGAAAGAATTTGAAGAAAATGAGAAAAGTGTGAAGAAACTGGAACGAACTGGAAGAAACTAGAAGAAACTGGTAGAAACTGAAAGAAACAGGAAGAATTGGAAGATACTAGAAAAAACTGGAAGAAACTGGAAAAAACTAGAAGTTAAAAGTTCAAGACCTAAAGAACACGCTCTAAATGAGATATGTCTTGCCATTAATAATGTTATACACAAGTTTATGATAATCAAAATGTTAGAGTCACGAACAAATAGTGCACAAACTTTACAAACTTGATTTTTTTGAATTTTAAATTAAAATATCCATGGTAGTCAAAATCACGATCTAGATCGTACAATTGTACTATTCCAGAGAACGCAGGGGGTTTCTGATCCAACTCGCCCTCAAAATCGCAAAAATCCTTTGGATCAGAAGAATCGTCGTTTTGGATCGTGCAATCGCACAATCGCTGGAAATCGTCAATCGTAAAAAGAAAAGAATCGGAAATTTGAAAAGCCATATTTTATCGCTTCGATTTTATCTATTTAGTCGCTTTAATTATTTCGCGACTTCCAATTTGAATCGCAGTTATTTCATGACTTCCAATTCGACTATTTTGTCGCATCTAGCCTTCTCCCTTCTAACGCGGCAAAGCTTGTTACCCTACGCGTCTCTCCCGCGTCTCAATTTTTGCCCAGGTTTTATTTATGAAGTTTAATTATATATAAGGAGCTCGGATTATACTGTAAAAGGGTAATATAGATTATAAAAAGGTAAGTCATTCGTGATATCCGACTTGAATTTGTGTTAAATTTAATTAAAATTCTATTCACACACACACACACAAAATCTATATATATACAGAGAGAGAGAGTATGATCTTATGATATTACGATCTTCATTAGACGCATTGATCCAACATAGAATCTAGAGTTTGACTACCATGAAAATGTCTTTTACTATTTGCCAACCTCACGAATGAAGTAATGCTATTTGACTAAGGTTTAGAGTGTCCTACTAGCATTACGTGTCAGCTCATTTCCAAACATTCCTCTAGAAAGATCTTACCACACCTAATACTTCATTTCAATTCTTGTATTTCAATTTCAAAATTTGAATTCATAAATTATTTACAATTGAGCTTTGCAATGTATTGGAGTAATTTACTCTAAAATCAAATCTAAATATTTCCAAATATAGATTTTAAGCCAAATCTAGATTTAAAATCAACATTCTAAAAGGGTATTTCTGAGTGCGGTGAATTTTGAAAAAATCAGATGTGCTGAATAAGAAAACAAAGCACTTGCTCCAAGCTTTGGTGAAATCATTTCTGTAGCAAAATTTACACTTTTGATGTCACAGTCTAGAATCTAAAACTGATTAGAAAACATTTAAGACTGTATTTTAATGAAATAAAAGCTCAAAATCTATTTCCAAACACCTTCAAATTTTCAAACATGTCACCAAAGATATCACCGAGTGAGTTGACCTGAAATTTTAAATTAATAAAACATTCTTAGTTCAATGAACATATTGGAGAAAATCATAAATTAAACTAAACAAGGGAAAACAAATTTCTTTTCAACTTGATAAGTAAAACACAGATTATGTTTCTCTGTCATTCCTTTATAATTCCTCAAATCAAACATAGGATAGGGCAAAGCAAAGTCCAAAGAAGCGAAGGGTAATTACCGCATTTAGGGCATAGGTGATCTTTTGCTGGAGCTCCACATCTGTAGCAGAAGGTACACCCACACCTAGAGTTATAAAAGAACACATTAAAGCAAAATTTATCATATGGCAAACTTTCATTAGAGATAATCTAGTTGGCATCCAAAGTTATATTTGCATATAAGCTAGCACCCCTGTTTCCCAAAGCAATTGAATCTTAGATATACAAAAAAAAATTCTAATAACACTCAATAGAATTTAGATTAAAAGAATGTTTTTATTGATATTGTGCTCTAAAGTTGTGAGCCGTGTACATTCACCATGGGAGTAAAATATACTCTCTATTTCCCTAAATAGTTAATACATTATGCAAAATGAAGTATTTTTTTTTCGATTCATTTTATTTAAAGATTGTTATATAAATAAACAAAATAATACTTACATATTTAAAAAGTACTCCGGTATATCTAAAGTTCTACAAAGAAAATGTGGCAAGAATAATTTATTTCATTAAATAGTTAATGAAAATACACAAATAAACAAAACTTCCTACATTTTTTGAATAGTAAAATGTATAAATCTTTTATGGGCGAAAGGAGTATGTGAATGCTTGTGGAGTTTAAGGCAATTTGGCTTTGTAGGTAGGCAAATTCTATAATGAACCTAAGTTCCATTATAGATTTACATATGAACAAAATAAACATCTAATATTTTTTTGATATAAAATTTTAAAAAAATTATATGAAAATATCTATAAAAATGATATGTATCCAAAGTGTACCACACTACCATAAAAACAAGATAAAAGGTCTCATCTTTTTTTACTAAAGATGGTCTTACATCTCTTAATCCTCATTCTTTGTGCATGGGTCACAAAGTAATGATTTGAAAACAATCCATTTTATACTCTTTCTCCAATAATAAGAAATGAGTTATGCCAAGCGTAAGTCATTTGTACAATATTAATCCTCCCCATTTAAACACTATCCGTTCTTTAATTTTTTTTAATTACACTTTGGATTGTATAATGGAGATATAGCAGTGTACATTTGAGGTATACTTTTTGGTGTACCCCTTAGATTTTTCAAAACAAAAAATTGAATGGTACAAGAACCCCAAATATTATACACCGTCTATGTATCCACAAATATTGAGTCTCTCTGTGTGTCTATATTTGCATGAAATGTACTTGTTGGCAATGCCCACTTTTCTATTTCATTGACTTCATTCCCGTTTTACATCAACGTTATAGATTAGCATTAACGTTTTGAAAAGGTTATTCAACAGTAGCCTTTAGCATTATCATTTTCAGAATTAATCTAAATCATTAAAATTTTATCCAAAATATTACTAAGCCCTTTCCAACAGAAAATTACTCGCGGGTGACGCGAGTTTTGTTGAAATAACTCTCAGGTCCCTATATTTTCAAGAAGACATCAGAGGTCCTTACATTTTATTGTAATGACTGAAAAGGGACATTTCATCCAATATTTCATCTATAAACGTTAATAAATGTATTTTTTCATATTCTTTTCTAAATGTTTTAATGTAATAAATTTTAGGTCGTTCCTTTTTTTATTTCTTTGTTTTTCTTTCATTTTGTTACTATTTTTTAAAGTGTTATTTTAGAATTTCTTCTATAAAATCGTATAAAATTCAAAATTATTTGTATTATATTAAAAAAAAATGAAATAAAAAAATTTAAAAAAAAGAAAAAACAAGGTAATGGCAAAATAGGAAAAAAAACGGTATTGGAAAAATAGGAAAAAAAATACATTTATTAATGTTTATAGATGAAATATTGGATGAAATGTCCCCTTCCAGTCATTACAACAAAATGTAAGGACCTCTGCTGTCTTTTTGAAAATAGAAAAACCTGAGAGTTATTTCAACAAAACTCGCGTCACCCGCGAGTAATTTTCTGCCTTTCCAAACAAGGTTTCATAGGATTGTAACCGTGTAGGATAAAGAAAAAAGTGTGGGAAATGCAGAGTAAAAAACCTGCAAGACATGAAACCACAGCCGGATATTCTCTCGACGAAGATCCTGCAATTAGGGCACCTCTTCCACTCCTTCCCCTGCGCGAGATTCATCATCTGTATATCCTCCCTCTGTCTCTCGTTCAGATTCAATTCCTGGAAATCCGAGCAAGAGATCTCAGAGTGCCATGGAACCTGACACTTTGCGCAGAACAGTCTCCGGCACTCCGGACACTCCGACTCCTCGATCTCCGCCTTCTCGTCCACCAGCAGGGCGGAGCAGTCCTTGAACGGGCAGTAGAACTTCTCCGACGCCTGAATCATCGCCTCGCACAGCGCGTCCCCCCACCGATCGAACACCGCCTTCGGCAGAATCGGCCGGCAGTGGAGCGGATCCAGCAGCCCGCCGCAGCCGGGAACGGGGCAGCGGATCTGCGAGACGTTGTCCTGTAGCTTCGAATCGACGTACGTGGACACGCAATCGGAGCAGTAGGAATGGCTGCAGCCGTTGATCCGGAATAGTCGGGATCTGTTCTTCTCATCGCAACAGATTTCGCAGGTGAATTTCGGCGTAGGGACTTCCGGATTCGATTGGGGATTTGAACTTCGTCGTCGGAGTAAACCATGGCGGCCGGCTACGGCTTCGATTTGAATGTCACGGTGAGTGGCCGTAGTGTGTTTAAATGCTTGGAGTCAGATTGTCACGGCGGTTGGAGTCCCCTGAAAAGCATTTGCCGCCAAAACTCTTCGAAACCCTCGCCGCCGCCGGTGAAGGTAATTAATTACTGTAGCTTTTATTTTCGAGATAAAAATTCATAGCCGATATTTGGCGGTTTGGTTGCTAGGCCAATCCAACCTCTCTAGACAAAAAGCAGAGATATGGTAAATTCCAATTTACTACGGAGTATTTGTCGATCTGTCGTTAAATACTGAGTACTAGAGATTGGGCCCAATCCTAATCCCACGGGCCAGACGGCCTAATCTATGAGAGAAGGGCGTGACCCAATAATGAGTGTGAGGTTTATACTTACGGTCAAATTAATGTCATGCGAGGCTACAAGGCCTTGTTTGGATGTTGGCTGTTGGCAGTTCATGCCAGCTGTTGTGAATGCCTGTTTAGTTCAGCTGGTTTGACCGGCAGGATGAATTGGTTAATCGTTAAAAATGTTTGGTAAAATTAACTGTTTGAAAATAGTTTTCAACTGGCGAACCGGAAGATAAATTCCACCGTCACACTACACTACCCGACTTCATATTCATTACATTTCAAATAAAAAAATTAAAGGAAATTAAAAAAACTAACATATACTAAATCTATCTCAAACTAAATGTTTTCATTTTTTATTTTATAAAATAAAAAGAAATTTTTGGGATGCTCTAAAAAGAAATTGATAAGTAGAAAAAGAAAATAGGAAAGAATGCAAATAGCAAGAAATGAAAAGGCAAAAAGATACAAAAAAATCCACTTATATGAAAAGAGAAAAACATAGTCATGGAGTGTGCTAATAAGTCTTGACTTTTTTGGATGTTCCAAAAAAAGTTACCCAGTACTATTTTTTATTTTAAAATGAATTGATTATTGTTTTCAATTATTTGAATCTATTACGTGTCAATCCAAAAAGGGAGAAAGATCAGAACAAATGTAGAATATAAGAAAATAACCAAAATACAAATATTATGTTTTTATTCTCAAAATATAACAAAAATTTATTTTTCTCTATAAAAAATCCACACTAATCCATTGAAAATATAATGTTACCTATTTCTCATCGCAGTGTGACTGTGCGAGAGTGCTAATATGCAACGTCAGTCGAAGCTACAACGAGAAAAATGGTAATATCTCTCGACAAACATGATCTGAAATAATCCTAAATATGTCAATGTATACCGTCAAAAATACAAATAAAATACCAAGAATCAATGTGATTTGCTGTATAATACTCTATATCACCTTTGGCCATTGTATCACAAATGTGAGTTCCCAACATATAATGTTGCTTATAAGATGTATAACCAACCTTTGATTGATCCGAATTAAATGTGATTCGATCACAATGTTTGTTTTGAAAAACAAAAATATAATGTTGAGATTGTCAATCTTAAATTAGCGAAAAAGAAAGGAAACAATCTCCAATTTAAAGAAAAAGAAAGGAAACAAAAAAAATAGCCTGAAAAGTGTTGTTGCAAAACTTCTGAGCTACGAGTAGTTTTTTTTTGTTTTTGTTTTTTATCTACACATTGAGTTTCGTATGATAAAAGTCTCATTTTAACGAGGATTCGCATGGGACAACAATCCCTGCGGGGTCCAAGGAGCAGAGCTCCTAGTTGGGATCTAGATGTCAAGTAAACTCGAAATTTTTTTATTTTAGACAAAGTGTTGTGTTATCATCGCAATTAATCCGTGTTTGGTTATTAAACTTTTCCAACTTTAAGACAAATCAAAAGAATCACCAAGCAAAATTAAGTAAATAGGGACTTTAATTTCATCATCATGCGAATTGCCAAAGTTGACTATTCTTTTTCAAAAACTTCTTGCATATATGCCATCATATGAAGAAAACCAATTATGCTACTTGTTTTATTTCTTTCAAGCCATTATATTTGACTTCCATTTGGTTTATTTTGAAATTATTAGTGATGGATATCGGGTCTGGTAGACCCGAAGAGACGGCCCAATCATGGTGTAAAATAAGATGACCCAGTCCAAGAAAGGAGTGGGACATGTGGCCCCCGTCATTGGGTCACTGGCGAAGTGGGAAGAGAACGAGACCGGAAAAGAGGGAATCACAACCCCATAATCTCCATAATCCTTTCCATTTTGTATAATTTTAATTATAATATTAGAAATACTATAAAAGGGGGGAGAACCCGCCATTGTAAAAAGAGGGGTAATTGAATACTCAACTAAAGAATATTATTGAGAGATATATCTTTCTGATCCATATAACGTTATTGGTCCGCCATCTGATCGGGTTAATCCCATCAATTAGAATCTTATAATTACATTTTAAAAAGAGATAGGATATTGATATTTATTTTTCAAATTACACCAAACACTAGAGCCATTAAAATCATTTAGATATATCACCTTGGTTAAGTTCCTATGACATTGAGATTCAATGTCATGGGATTACCCGAGTTTCATACGATTCTCTGTTCGAAGAATTGATAGTTTCTACCCCCTAACTCCTCCAGTAAACCCCCACTCTCGGCCGGGTCCAAACATACCCCTGGACCACCGTCAATTACATGCCACAATATTTAGTTGACAACTTGTTTTTTCAGCACTTAGTTTTATTTGTAAAAGTGGGTCCCAACTGGTGTCTATACATTAACAACTTGTTTCTTTTTCTTCCCATTTTTTTCTTTTGATTATTAATCAAATCCAACCGTTAAGAAACCAATTCAACCAAAAGGTCAAGCTAGACGTAGTCTTTTTTTAACCTTGCACGTGAAACCTTAAATTTTTAAAACTGGGTGTTGTCCAATTTCGAACATGTGATCTTAGTCAACAAGGCTCTGATACAACTTGTAGGACCTCAAGCGCTACCAACTCTTCTAAAATCAATTGGTGTTAGAAGAAGTACATACTCTAGCCTAATATTGCATTCAGTACATTCAGTACACACAACGCCCACGCCTTCACCATAGGACCATTAATGCACACGTGGCTGTCAATCTCCCACTCAGCAATTGCTCCCGATGGGAATCGAACTCGTGACCTTGGCTTCGATACGATGTCAATGAACTAATTCAACCAAAAGCTCAAGTTTGTGGCTGTGGCCCAAGAGAGGTTATTTATACTCTAACACCAACCAACTCCACTTTGATTAAATAATCAAAAATTTTATAGCTCCACCTCTCTTGTCCTATGAGATCACCGTTATCCCAAAAGAAAAAAAGACCTATGGCTCCCCCTCGATTTATCCCCTGAGATAACCGCCAACCTCAAAGAAAAAAATCTTTGTGGCGCCACCTTGATCAATCTATCGAGATCACTATCACCTTAAAAATATCATGTGACCATATCTTGCTTAAAACCGCAATATCTCTGCCACCCTTTGTTGCTTTTGTGGCTCCACCTTGTTCAAAACCATAAGTTTTGACTTTTTTCAGTCAATCGTTTTCAACTTTTGACTTTTTTTTAGTTCGGTTGACTGTAATTATTTTCAATTCAATTTATTTGATTATAGGTGTAAAATAAAAAAATTATATATTTTAAAACTCCATGAAAAGTTCTACGAAACAAGAGGTGAAAAGTGAAAATAGCTAAATGAAGTGATTAAGGTTTGACCACGTGAATAGTGACTGGGAAGGATCATTTTAGGACGGATGGAATATTAATTAGATAAAATAGTATTTTGAAAATATTTTATATAACAAATCTAATTAATAAAATTGTTTTTATATCAAAATCTAATATTTCGTATCATTTTTTATTATTTTTAGGGTCAAAATTTATCAATTTTGACTAAAAAAGTAAAAAATAGATAAATACTTTAAGACAGAGGAAGTAATTAATTGGGTTGAATCTATATATTTAATTTAAATTTAAATGTTCTTTTTCAATCGGGTTTGGGAGTTTATTTCTCCATGGTATGTATCCTCTTCCCACATGGTCTAGTATTAACCGATAATTAATGTTTGATCCCAACACCCCCCCCCCCCCTATAAATACACATACTCCTGACCACCTGAATAATTAAAAAGTATAATTACAAAAACAATAATAGTAATAATGGGTCTATTTTCTTGTGTCAATTGTTTCAAACAGAAGAGTAGTAAGCCTCCCAAGGGTTCTTCTCGTAAGGGGAAAAAACCTGATGGAGCCTCCGGCGGCGGCGGGGACACCAGCGGTGATCTGATTACTGTTCCCACCGTGGTGGCGATGATGCCCCCGGCGGATATGCCGACCAACAATCATCATGGTCATCACAAAGGCGGTGGTCGTCATCATTCTCACGGTGGCGGCGGTCACCATTCTCACGGTGGCGACGGTCATCATTATTCTTACGGAGGCGGCGGTCATCATTCTAATGGTGGCGGCGGTCATCATGTCGACTATGGCCATCATGCCCACTTTGGTGGCGGTGATGGACACTTTGGCGGCGGCGGTGGACACTTTGGTGGTGGTGGTGGAGACTTTGGCGGTGGTGGTGGAGACTGTGGCGGCGGCGGTGGAGACTGTGGCGGTGGTTTTTAGTTCTATACTCTGTAAACTTCATGTTCATTATAGTTAGAATATCAATATATGTGTGATGCGTTTCTAGTAAAAAATATTAAAAATAAATTTCATAAATGATCTCTAGTTAATTGCACGTGATTTGTCATATTTATTTTGTCTCTAGTTCTAAGACATTATATAAATAGCCTTTAGTTTTTGAAAACTATTTCATAATTAGTCTTTCAGAGACTTTAAAAGATTATTTATGGAATAATTTTTAAAGAGCATTATTTATGTAATATCTTGAAGTATCTTAGACTTAAGGACTACATATGAAAATTCATATGTAATTAAGGACTATTTATGAAATTAATTCAAAAAAATACTTCAAAAGACATTGTAATTAGAGCATCTCTAATGAATGGTTGTGGGTTTATGTAGAAAGTTTTGCTACATTATGAAGCTCATCAACGTACTTCATTTTATTTTGGGGGAGAATAAAAAAAACGTGCCACTTTATTCTCAAAACGTGCCAAACAATTAAATATGAATACCTCAAATAATGTTAAAATAAAACTATAATTTTGTACTTCGTACAGAAAAACATAACTTTGTTAAAAAATAATTTCAAATTTAAGAAAATAAGAATTTTTTCCCAATTCATACAACATGAGAATATTAATAACTCCAAAAAAAATATGCTCATAGTTATAATAAACTACGGAGTAGTATTTTAACTCGTGTCATGCACGGGTGGAACGAATTTATTTTCGATTGTACAATATCAAATATTTAAACAACTTGATTTTTCAATGGTATATACCATTTAAATTTCATATATATAAATGATCTAGGTTTATTAAATTTCTACAAAAATATAATTCATCTCACTCCTTAATTGAAAAATATACTACAAAAACATTATATTAGTGATTTGATTATTCTTCTCTCGCATTTATTTAGAAAGCTTAGATTTCCGATCCTATAAATTTACGATTAAGAAGATCCCAATTCTTCTTCGCCACATTAATTTACATCAATGAAAAAAATACAGAGTATCATGATTCTTCTCTCACACATTAATATAATTTTTCCTTTCCTCGACCCTTTGCATTTATTCAAAATTGACACTTTTATACCCACGTAATTAAAAGTATGAAAACATAAACTAGCACTTATATGATAAGAAATAGAAATTTTACAATACATTAAAAATATAATGATTCTTCCCCTGTATTATTCCAAAAATTATGTCAACGAAAAAAAAATATTAGTGCGTGATTCTATGATTTGAACAAAATATTTTAAAAACAAAATATATCACAATTTTTAATCATTTTTCACTTTCTTTTAAACATAGAAACATTTAAGCACGTGAAAGTATTATGATCAATACATATTATTTTATAAAAACACAAAGAGTTACAAATTGAAAATTACATTTCTCATGTTGTAGTTGAATCTAGATCTTATTCACTTCTGCACATTAGATCTTCTCAGTACTTCTCCTTGAATTATTGATTGTCCTTGCACATAGATTTTAATTGTCACGGATCTTCACGAGATTTCAGGCCTCCAGACCTTAATTTTCTTTATAGAAATCATCTTTGCGAAAGTCCATATCATGTTCTAAATCTTCTTTGTGAAAGTATTACAAATGTTCTAAATACGTGACAAGCACAGGAGACCAACTAGCTTTAGGAAAACATGTAAACATTCTCAACACATGACATAGAGTCACGGGAGACGAGTTGACGATAAGATACAAAGGTACACAATCATCCAGCAACGTAACACACATGATATATCGTGTATTGTAATGTATGCACTAGGTGCACTAAACTAGATATCCCAAATGATTGGGAACATAGATATACCAAATTTAAGCATATATTGTAGTGGAAGAAATGGGGGCAAAAGACAATGGTTTCCATGGACTTTTATTGGTTTGGTCACCTATACCCATTGCGGCTCGAGCCTTTGCCCTTGAGAAAAGAGGCGCTGCTGGTGATCTCACGCAGGGGCTTATTCGTAAATCGAATGAGGTTGTATACCCAGGCCCCTGTAACGGCCCCTGCAGTTGGGCCCACTAAGTAGATCCAAATGCTTTTGTAATTGTTTGAGACTATTGATGGGCCCAAACTCCTTGCTGGGTTCATTGATGCTCCGGATATCGGCCTGCCAATATTTAAATCGCTTGAAAGCCCATTTTGGATTGAGGAGTGTGGAAGAAATGAAAATTTAAATCATAGTGTAACACTTAAAATAAAATTTAGATATGACTGGATTGTTTTAATTTAACAAATTATTAAGAGTCACAAGTAAAAGAAAAATAATAAGTTAATGATTCCTTGTTTTAATATTTAATCATTTTTTAAACACCATAAATATAACTAAACAATAAAGTTTTTGCAGTAGTAATACGGGACGGTTTTCATGACATTGTCAGATAAAATCATGGAACGACTTGGTGCGCTTCAGTGTCCCGTTCATAAAAGTGACAATTCTTACCCTCCGATAAACCCCGCACCCCGACCCGAACACACCCCCACCACCTTCAATTGTACCCCACAAGTTAATTTTAACTTTGAAGTCAAATTTTGACTCCAAAATCAAAACTAACTTGTGGCGTGAAATTGAAGGGGGTGAGAGGATTATCGGGGGTTAAGGAGGATAAAAATCCGTCAATTTTGCGAACGGGACATCAGAGTATCTTCAAATCATCTCATGACATGAGATTCCAATGTCATAAAAACTCTATCGATCAATAATAAACTTAAAATGAGAATATTAAATTAAAAAGAGAGAGTATAATAGATGAGAAATTAAATGACATACCCAGCAAACATGACATTAAGTAGGATCGTAGCTCCCACAGCAAGGCCAGCAAGTTCTCCAATCTGCGCCCCCAATTAAATTACAACTCGGTTTGTATAGTTTTTTATTTTATTTCAATAATAATTATAATATTATTTAAATAATAATAATATGAATAGATACTATATTATAATATATAAATTGATAAATTCAGTAAAAATACTACTAATAATAAATTATTATTAATTTATTTTTTTAATGCTATTATATGTAGATAGAAAAATATAAACCCTTAAAACGTGACATTGGAAACTGTAAAAACTCAAATAAGAAGATTAATTCGGACGGATGAAGTAATTAATAAGGGAATGTGAGACTAATTACCGCTCGATTATCGGTGGCCACGCCGGAGATGACAAACATGAGGTAGAAGGTGATGATGAATTCGACCACAAGTGATTGGACTTCGGACCCCGCCGGAAGTGTGCCGGCGAAGTGGTCGTGTTTTCCGTTGAACAGCAGCCGGAGGGTCCCACTTGCTAAGGTTGCTCCCGCCATTTGTGCTGCTACATATACTGGAACCTGAAGTCATTGAAAAATCATACCAAACAACTTCGGATTAGTTCCGTTCGCCTCATCTGATCTGATTCGATTTTTTGAAGATTTGATCTAATCTGATTGCAGTTTTAATTAAAAATGTTTTTTTATCTGATCTGATGTGGTAGTCTAATCTGATTATAATAAGAATACTTAATAAACAAAAAAAGTTGAACGAAGCGCTATCTTAGTAACTAGGAATAGTAGGGGCGGACATGGTTCCTCGGCTAACAAATTCATTTTTCATTAGACTTTTTATGTTCTCTAATATAGTATTTTGACGATTAATATCTATATTTATATTATGAAAAATACGAAGTATAATATTTCAAAGTTATATTTTAAAATGAATCTTTTAATATTAAATTTATCGATGCGATTCGGTTGACACTAAGCTACGTTGAAACTACGATACCACTACCCGTTTGAGACAGACACAATAATGTTCTATTCACAAAATTGATAGTTCATTTCTCATAACCCCTAACCCAATAATGAATAATCCTCCACCCACTCCATTATCCCTCTGTTCTTCGCCGATTGGCTTCGATCAATAAATACTAAGTACTGTAATCAACCGCCAAAGAAAAAAAAGACTTAGAAGATAGGAATTATGAAGCATTGTAGGTCTTGCAATTGGAGCCGGTGTCATTCGGTGCTACTGTTTGGAGTGTCAATGGACTCTTACTGTAACGTTATATGATAACTCAATATAGTTTTTCGTAATTAATAATCAAAATTTAAAAAATTTGATCTAGAAGTCAAACTAGGAAAAATATTATGGATAGTGGGAACACTTACACCATGGTTGGTTCAAAGATTTTGAAAAGGAAAAAAAAAATGAGATGGAATTTTTTTTGGATGGTTAGAGAGGAAAAGAAAAGAAAAAATGGAAGGAAAAGAAAATGAGAAGATAAAATGTACTCCGTACTAAAAAGAGGGAAAGCCGAAATCCTCTCATTTTGGTGGGAAACACGAAAAAAACTATTTTCTTTTTTTTTTCTATTTAAATTTTCTTGAACCAAACATAGTCTTAATAAAAATCATATGTCGAATTCAGGTGTATTTGTATAAATCTAATTATTTAGAAAGAAATCAAAACAATGTATTTCCACTTAAATGCAATCGAAACCTTTATGGAGATATTTTAAATATAGTTCAATTTTGTAAATACTGTTAGGTGTATCCTACATTTAATATTCTAAGTATAAAAAAAATGCTTAACATTATGTTTGTCACCAGAAATAGAATTTCCCGTACATTTACATGAATACCGATTATCAAATAATTAAATATTCATTTTTGAGTAACAGTCTAATAAAATACTTAATTTCGAGTAACTAAATATTTATTTTAGAGCATAACTAAATTTTAAAGAAATACATATTTAAATTACTTGAGAATCAATATTTAATTACTCGAAGATAAATATTTAATTACTCGTAAATGAGCATTCGTAGCGGAAAAGAGACTTTTAACCTCAACAGTACACGAGACCGACAAAACCAGCCACCACGGACTGGATCAACTTTAGTGTGCATTTATTTGAACGGATCGGATTAAGTACGCATTTATTCATTTTATTTCTTTTCATAATTTTTATATTTTACCTTAAAAACTCCCTCCATTTCACTCGAGTATAATATTATTTTTTATTTAATGGTAGAAATCTAAATATTTTAACGTAATAGCTAATAAGTACAAATTTGAAAACTACATTCCTTCTATCCCATTTTTTATTACAAATTTATTTTTTTCTCCTTTCAATAATTTTTGTTTATTTGTGTTTTTGTATTGATTATTTGATAACATAAACTACTCATGTCAGTTGTCATATTTTATTTTGTAGAACTTTTGACGAATTTTTTAATATGTAATTTTTATTTTTTCATTGTTATACAAATTTGTAAATAAAATGATTTTAAAAATTGTAGGATTTTTTCACGTAATTTTCCAATTTGTAATCAATATGGTGATGGAGTACTAAACGTTTGACTTGTGAAAAGAAATTTCAATTTCTTTTGAAGATGAATGGAGTATTATATTTTAAAATTTACTTTCTTACTCCCCTGCCTCATAGTTTTTTTCTACTCGTGGTCAATATTTTTTAATCTTGACTATAAATCATAAAAAAACAATTCTAAATTGATATAAATTTAATATCAATAGATTTATTTTGAAATATAGTTCAGAAATATCATACAAGTATTTTATAACATATGCCTCGCAAATAGAGATATTAATTAATAATCAAATACTGCATGTGATATCGTAAAAAATCAAGGTGGAGTATATTAAAATAAATCAAATAATATTAAATTTATATGGTAATGAGTATATTTTGTCTCTAGATTTTTAGACTCAAAAATCAAATATTACTTCTCTGTCCAGAATTTTTTTTCTCACTTTTTTTGGGCTATTCAAAAATTTATTTCCCGTTTCTTATTTCGACAAAAAACCTTTTAATGAATGTGTCATTATATCAATATTTTTTCTCTATATTATTCACTTAATTCTATCACAGCATGAGCAACACATAAATTTTTTTTATACTTTTCAACTTTTCTAAATATATGTGCTTAGTCAAACTCGAAAATAAATTTTTGACTAAAATAAGAAAAAAACAAAAAAAAAAAGAATAAGTTTGAGAAGAAACCTGTTTGAAGGGGAACCTCTTGCAAGTTGCAAACGCAAAGGTGACGGCGGGGTTGAAATGTGCGCCGGAGATATGTCCGACGGAGTAGATCATGACCATCACCACCAGCCCCCACACTATCGCCACCCCCGGAAAAGTCTGGCTCCCCTTCTCGGCGTTCACCACCGCCGACCCGCACCCGGCGAATATCAGGAAATACGTCCCCAATGTCTCCGCAATCAACTGCCCCNCCCCCCCCCCCCCCCCAAAAAAAAAAAACGTTACCAAATCAATAGAAAAAAGAACTAAAATGGTGCTTGTGACTTAATTATTCTCACTTCCATATGCTTAAAAGTGTCTCATTCTCAACTTTTTTTTCGAGAAAAATATCACTTTTCAAGAAAAATAACGACACCCAAACATCTTCGAAACATATATTCGAGATGCATTCTACAAACAGATGTCACAAATTCAATCTTGATCGAAAATGATTTTTGATTTTTGTTTTGAATGGAAAAAGTTTGATTTCCATTTGACTTTTTCCGGAGAGAGAGTGATGAAATGGATATATATAAAAGTGGGATTTGATATATACCTTTTGCATAAAGGGGATAGTAAAGATGGCATTACAGCCAGTTGGAGGAGGGGGAGGAGGGGCACCATGGTTGGATCTTTCATCCCTAACATCCAAAGCAACCACTTGGTTTCCATTAGCATCTGCCATTTCTACCAAATGAATTGATGTACAAAGTCAAGTGGTGGTGAGAAAAACAGATGAGGAAGTCCCCTATTTATATATGTGCAGTGTGTGATCATGTCATGTGTCTCTATTTATATAGCCACAGGATGGACAATCCTTTGGGGTTGTGGTTTTGGGGGTTGGGGTTGGATTTATTATTAGTTATGACTTGTGAGGTATTTGCAATTGACTCTCTACAAGTCTTGCTATTATTTAATTTCTTCTTTGAATAGTGCCCATTTAGCTTACTTCTTTTTTTTAAAAAAATTTTCCATTATTATTGATCGACTACATGTTATGCTGTAGTCAAGTCACGTGTTATGAGGTGTTATCGGTTTTGACAATAGAATGTCACGTCTTGTCACAACGCGATCGTCTGGATATATCCGGCGCAATCCACCACGCGTGATCGCCTACACGCCAAAGCGTGCAACAAAAATTAAATCGAGGGGCGCAGCCTGGGAGAATGGCTTCATACCATTCGGGTCAGAAAAAAATTAAAAATATCTTAATTACTTCCTATAAATACATACCAATTCTTATCATTTTTCCCACAATTCACTTCTCCAAAATCTTCAAACTTTCAAAAAAGTAATGTTACCATTCAAATTTTATCGTCTCTCTCTATAAATCCCAACCATTCGTATAGTAAAACCAATGCTTCAACATGTTCTTCAATCGCTACGAACATCAAATGGACTCGGGCAATCATAATAGCCCGAACGTCACAAGGAACTCAATCCTTAATTTTGCAAAATGGTACTTTGAAGAACCAAATTTTAACCAACCAACCTCCACCGAAACACAATTCAAAGCACAATCTAAAACTGAAACCGAACTACTACGTCGACTAAAAGAGACATAAGAGGACGCAGCGGCGGCAAAAACCGCCAAACCTTACACGACAAAGTGGAACGAAGAAGAGGAGGTTGCCATTGCTCATGCCCGGAAGATGAAGGAAAATATCATGATGAAATAATGGAACATGAAGTTGCAGTTTTGGTTAATTTTAAGAATAAAGCTAGGGGCGGAATACACCAAAATGGTGTATTCCGTTTGTACATCAGACAAACACAGACATTTAGACACTAAGTGTCTCTGGTCACAGACACTTTGTGTCTATGTTTGTTTGGTCTACAAATTTGTACACCATTTTAGTGTACTCCTAACATGGCTCTATTATTAAATTTATTCAAGTGTTTTATTTTAATATTTTACGAAGTATTTTGTACTCCATAATTGTTTAATTTTAGTGTTACTTTTGAAATTTTGAATTGTACTTTAAAATGTTTTTGTTCCTGTAATTTATTTTTGAAATTTATTTCATAATACGGAGTAGTTTTAAATTCGAGCATTAATTTTATAATCAAATCGTTCCATCCTATTTTCAACTCTACTAGGATTGGTGCCTTTCGTAGATGGAAACTGGCTTGAATTTATGCTCTTCATTCAAGCTGAAAATGGTTCTAGCACACCTAATAACCCTCCCTCTAAATCCATTGCTCCTAATTGCATTCTCAAATTTAGTTGATATTTGATCGGGAAAGTCAACCAAACTTGGTAGTGCAACGGGAGATTTGGGATGAAACACTACTTAACAACCTTTTTAGTTCATAATATGACATTAATGAAATCTAATGTCAAAACTTTGAGATGAAAAGAAGAGTAAATGGTATAATTGATCTTTTAAAATTAAGGGATTTTCATATTTAGTATTTTATAGTGAAATTTGCACTAAATAGGACTAAAACATAATGACTTTCCTAATGTAGGACTTAAACTTTTTTATTCCCTAAATATGACTTAATAATGACCTTGTGGGAGAATTAATGTCCAGTAATGATGGACATTTAGTTGAATAATGACTACATGATAATGACCAAAGGTCCTACATTGGGAAATAAAAACATATGGTCCTATATTGAGAAAGTCATTATGTTTTAGTCCTATTTAGGTAAATTAACCTATATCTATGCTCATATATTTGGGTGTCGACTTGGCGAACGACACAACAACATTGACTTTGGTTCGAACTTGGATTTCTACTAGCGACAACAACTGTGAACTATAGTTGTGATGGGCGGCTACTCTAGCATAAAACGATACATTAACAACCTAACGGTCTCTGTCATTGGCGGTGACAAAAGGATGTAAGGCCCTTGTATAATTACATTTTTAGTCATCGATTTAACACAAACATAATGGAAAGTCAAACAAAGAACCATCCTTGAAAAGGCACCCATGAAAAAAATTATGAATCTAATACTCAGCTCTTTCGTCTGTATTTGTAGAGTTTGACTTTTAGGGATCAAACATGTCTAATTTTGAGCTCCAATTAAATAAGAATTATAATGTGGATTAGTATAAAAATGATTTTATTAGATTTATCTTATTGAGATCTTTTAAAATTTTATTTCATTATACTAATATTCAATACAGATTGAGAGTTAATTAAAGTTTAAGTTTGTCTGATTTGACTCAAAAAGTCAAGTTAAATATTTACACTGGGACGATGGGGTAATATTTGATAATAGAGAATTAAATATGAAAATTTTTAAGTTTGAAGGGTTAATTATATAATTACTCAAAAAAGAAAATGAGAAGAGGATAATGGGAAATATTCAAATGTCAATGTAGAGGAATGATTTTTGTTCAAAAGGAATATTTTTCAACTATATTATCTTTTTCATTAATCATTATTTTTTCTTTATGAGTTAGCAGTTTATACCCAACGTTTATCAAGTATAGGAATGTTTTCCTTTGAATTTCGCTTCGTTTAGTCCCTTCTCACCAACCTCTTCTCCCAAAAGTTTAGTAAAGGAGTAACTTTGGGTAAAAGTGGAGACTTTTAAGTTCTATTGTTCTAACCTCTAACTTTTTTATTAAAAATTCAATCCAAATATCTTATTGTAAACTTTTACTCCTTCCACCCAAACAATAGATCTTCTAGCTTATTACTGTGTTACGGGACTTAATCGATTTTATTTTTAATTTGATTTATTTGATTATAGGTATAAAATTTAAAAATAAAATTTTTATAGTAACAAAATTACATAAAAAGTTTTGCAAAAAATGACAAGACAATACTATTTTATAAAATAAGTTACTCCCTCCGTTCTAATTCTTTCTTCCCAGTTTGACTTTTCCCCATTTTTAATTTTTGGCTTTGACTTCAAATGTTACCCTCCTTAAAAAAGATTTTTTGAATTTTTTTTTGCAATCATTCAAAATATAGAGTTAAAAGATAATTGGTGTAAATACATGAGGGTATTAATGTCATTTGTCATCTTTTTTTCTAATGGGAAGGTAGTTTTAGGATGGAGAAAAAAGAAAAGTGGGAAGAAAATTTTAGGACGGAGGGAGTATAAAATAAGTAAATACAGTAAGTTCAATTTTACCATATGAAAACTATCTTGAAAGATCTATGAGGACAAAGAGAGTGCATCATTTATGGATTTTATGGGTTCATGTATGATCTCTTCATGATGTCATTATGACATCTTTGTTTCTTGAAATTCTTTTCCATTTCTGGGATTGAATTTTGATACTCCTATTTATAGAAATTACATGAGAGAGCTTTACTCATACTATGAGTAGAACAACTATAGTAACAATACAATGAGAAAAATAATATTATAAGAAAAATAATTAAATATAATATTTATTTCCTATTATCTAATATTCCTAATATTCCCCCACAAGCTGATCATCGATAACTTAACGAGTATAGTAGCAACTTGGAGCACATGTACTAGAATTGAGCTGGCAAAAGCAGTTTTGTGAGGATAACCTTTAGAAGTAGAGAGTCAAATCTTTGTTGCATGACGAACAAGCTTGAAATTACGTTTGCTGAGTTTTTTCCTGATGAGAGTGTTGACGATTAGAGAGAGGGCAAGGAGTTTCTTTTCTCTTTGTGGGCCGTTTTCTGCTTCTCTATTCTTTTTCATGCTCTCGATCTCTAGAAAAAACACAGACAAATTAAATGCAATTTTTCCATTATTCGATCAGGCACATAATTTTTTGGGGAAGAGAGAGAGATAATGATTTTTTCTCGAGAGAAAGAGAGGAATAATGGACGGCGGCTGTTAGACACGCTCGTCGAGATTGGTCAGTGACGCTATGCTGTCTAGATTTTAGAAAACCTTAGCTCTGATACCATGATACAATGTGATAATAATTGGTCTCATCTCTCTATTTACAAGGTTTAAATTAGAGAGTTCGAATCGTAATAGAAGAACAACTATGGTAACAATACAATAAGAAAAATTAAATAATAAGGAAAGTGATTAAATATAATATTTTTTTCTTATTATCTAATATATTGTTAATAAATTTGAATGGCCAAGGGATATAATTTGTCATGATTGCTAGAGCGGTAGAGGGTAACTCTAAAAAAAATTAAAAAGATTTTTTTAGAATATACGGAGTAAAATTTTAATAGTTGAACTATATCAAAGTTAATTTGTGGAGTGTATTTTACATTTATGCAAATAGAAATCATCTTAAATAGGACTAAAACATAGAGAAAAGTATCAAAATATGACTTTCATGTTTTTTTCTTCGAAATAGGACTTTGCATTGTGGTAATGTGACTTTGTACTGTGGTAATGTGGCAGTGTACATGTGCACATTACTATACTTTTTTGGTAATGTATATGACCATGTTTGGTAATGTAAGTCCTATTTTGGGAATAAAAACATAGAAGTCCTATTTTGGTATATTTTCAATGTTTTAGTCATACTTTGGTCTTTCTCCCTTATGCAAAACTACATTTTAATTGACAAAAGTATTATACTCTACAAGTAATTTTTCTCTCAAATTCAATTTACAAAGAAAAAAGTATGTATTTTTTCGCATAAAATATATTTCTTTTTAATTATCTTGAAATAAAATATAAGTTCTGTGAAACAATGGACAACTTAGTTAAAATCTACTTTGTAGTTTTATTCCATTTTTTTGTAGAAATGTTTATCATATTTTATACTCGTATAAGTCGTATTTTATTTGATTGTTAACTCAACATTTAATTTATTATGAATATTTATTTCTTGTAGTTATAGAGTATTTGT